TAAAATCTATCTACTTATTCAATGAATACTTTGAAAGCGCTCCAGTCAAATGAATGCACACACAGAGACACAAGACAAAACATAATCAATTTTGTCTTTGGAGCCAGGGGATAATGAATAGCTGGATTTATTCACACCTGAAAAATGGGAAGCGTTTTATTCTTTAGGCTAAAGAAGGATTTTTCAAAGCATACTTTGAATCAAATCAACAATCGTTCTTATCTCTCAAGAATTTGAGCAGTAATTCATCTGGGATGAATGCTTATCTTTAATCCATTTTTCAGTTTTAATGACTGTTTTTGTTACTGCATTTTCAAAACCACAAACCCCAGTGCATTTGTTACCAATAAATTTCAAAATATGGTCATAACATCTTTCTAGAATGTTTAATTTATTGTTGTGGGGAGGGAAAAAAAAAGGTCCAACCAGAGCGCAGCGAAATTAGAAGCTTGCATCACAAGATTGCATGAGAAAGTAAGTAAACAGTATAAAAAAAATCTAAACAGGGCCTTTCGTGCAAAACCTGACCACAGCTTCTGTGGGCCAACCAAAGGTAAGATTCATGAAAGCAAATAACGACTACTTTAACACATCACTGAAAGAAGTCGACAGTCCTTCGTGGGATTTTTGACTCTTAAATTGCTCTTTCAGTTTATTTGCAGCCTCTGACTAGTCATTTTTCTGATTATGCAGGTGAATTTAAGTGGAAACATCAGAGCAACAGCAAAGCCTTTCTTTCATGGGGACAACTGCTCTCACGCCATTTACTCAGGATCATTTTGCTTGTTGCCAAATTGTTGGCTCGTAAAATAATCTGCTATGAAAATTAGGGCATAAACTGTTCAAATTGTTACGCTAAATAAGTCTGTGGCCTTTTGTGTGTGTGGGTTTTTTTTTTTTGTGTGCTTTTAAGATATAACTTCTCTCAGATGTGTGGGACTTTGCCTGAAGAAATAATATTTGAAAAATAAATACTCTTGACAGTTAAGTGTTTATTCTCAAATCAGCACCTTTAAAATTGGGAGGATGACAGAAAAAAGAAATGAAACCAGTCTTTGTGTCAGTGGAATTTTATTTAAAAACATCTGTCAATCAAAAATAAGGCATTCTCCTCACAAAGATCTCTGAAATATATAAATACTGCACAGAGTATCCTGCTTTTTGCCTCTGAAAAATGCATTCATCTTAAATATTGTCATATAAGTAATCATCAGTAAAAGAAAAGCACACTGATATTTATTGATCTTGGGAATACTTTTTAAAATTTTATTTAAATTATGTTACTGAAAGATACAAGACTCAAGATAATGATAAACTGCTGTTCGTGATCATTGAACTGCCAGTTAATTGACTGCTTGAAACTTAAAAGTACCATTTAAGAAATCACTTCCATATGTTTTTATGTGAAAAACTGAGCAACATTAATAATCTCAATGCATACAGCATATTGTTTTTAAAATACTGTTTTAATCCAGACCCTTGTTTTCTGCTGCAAAGAGCAGAGAGCTGTGTGAGGATGAAGTTCCCTCCAAAACATCTGGAACAACACTTAATGATCATTAAAAAGTAAGATTCTCTAAAGTGGCAGGGGGAGGGTTACACTGTGGTTTCGGTCTCACGCTCCCCACACACACATACACACGCTGCCTTTGTGACAAAAGCTTAGTCTCAGAGGAGACCCCGCCTGAGAGCTTTAAAACTTTGATTTGGCCTTGTTCTAATTTTATAGGAAAACACCAAATTTACATATTCCACTATGAGAATTGTATGTCTTGATATCTTTTTTTTTTTAATCCAATGTTAAAAGTAAAGAAAACCTGATAAATGGTGCACGGAAACCCTGATTACTGCCTTGCTTAAAAGCAAAACCATTGCAGAGCCACGTCTGTGACGTTTTATCACTTCAATATGTTGAATCGTGAGAGAATTTGTAATTAAACTCTGACTTAATGAGCTTTAATTGCAACTTGCAATCTTGTGCAGTGCTAGTACAGAACCTCAGCACGTACTTTCCTTCACTTCCACTTTGGAAAGAAGAAACAGCAACTGGTTTTATCGTTCCCAAAGTCTGAACAACAACAGGCTGTTTGTGATTCATGAATATCGGGCACGTCAGAGGCACCTGAACTAAAATATGTTGAGTTAATCACTCTTCTAATGCCAATTTAAGACTTACCCTTAAAGGGATTCACTCCCAAACTGTATAAAAAGTAAGAAAAATCAAAATCAAAATAAGTCATTATAACAACACCAAAAAAGATTTGTGAGATATTTCCAAATGCTTACAGAGACATGATGGACTGACAATCTGTTGCACAGGAGGAAAAACAATCAAATTTTAAACTTTTTGTCAAATTGCAAAACATTTAAACTTTTATTAGTATTGTATGCATTCAGTCACTAAAAACCAGTCATTAAAGATATGTCTTTCATGCCAGAGTTTTAAAATAATTCATTTAAAGCTGCTTTAGTCAAAATGTTGAAAATAATGTTATGCACAACATCAAACAATATTGCAAGATTTCATGTTTCATGTACTGTATTAGCACTCAGAGTACTGAGCGTGACTTTCAGCTACATCCATTTTTTTGCTTAGTGTCTGAAAATTGAACCATTTTTGTGTTTGTTGGTTAGGTCTAAATCTAAAACAGTTAAATCTGGTTCTCTGGACATTCAAAAAAACCCTTTTTTTTTTAATTCTAGAAACATATTGTCTTTCATCTGAAAGACTTCCTCACTCTGAGGTGCTGTATTCAGCTCTGTCTTATAAATAGCACCCTCTCGCAGTGGATCAACCTCCAGGTCCACAGGACCAGATTGAACTTTTTTAGATTTTTCTACCTGGATTATTGAGCATGCATCAGGATGATTTGTTGGTTAAGGTTTTGCCTGTGGCAGCCATCTTGAACTGGATTGACTCCAACAGTTAATTAGTTGCAGATGTACATCCAGCGATGACTTTCTGAAAGTTATATGAAAACTGTCAAGGTGATCGAGATATATTTTGTAGACCCAACAAAAAGCTTGACTCTAATAATTAATGGCAGTGTTTCAAACAAAGATCTTGTGTGGTAGAGCTTTACCTTTGGGTCCACACCAATTTTTAACTTAGTATTTGTAAAACCAGTTGAGTTATAGTCTTTTTTTGTGTTTGCTAAGGCCACTCAACTGTGGCAGTCATCTTAAACCCAGCTGACTTCAAACATGAATCAGCAGAAGACGTCCATGTCAGCCTGATTCTGCAATACTCGTACATAAGTTTAATTTTTATTTGTTTCAATCTATTTAATTTCTATTTAAAGCACATTAGAGTAAATGACTCAACTAAATGTCTCGTTACTGTATACCTACCATTCACAACTAATTTATAACTCCCATGAAGAGGTTGGCCTCATAGAACTGATTAAAGGGTACTCACACACAACATAAGGCTAATTTGACTTTTTAAGTTCATGTAGTTTGACAGTGAGCTGTTGAAAACTTTGCTAAGAACCTAAAATGGTTAGGTGGATTAAAAGCATAATTAAAACAAGTTGAAATAAATGAGGCAAATAATTTGATTGCTGGCAGTGCACTTACCTGAGGTCTGGGCTTTTCACTTTTCAAAACAAACAAACGCCTTTTTGCAATTTGATTTTTTTTTTAATTGCCAGCTCTCAAATCTCTGACATGCTCATGTATTGATTAGAGTGGAAACAAAAATACCACGGCATCATTGTTTGCCATTTCCCTCGCTTTGATCAGTTGTCTTTGTTAAGCAGAAGTTTCTTTTTTCCTCAACTTGGAAACGTAGATGCTTGGAAAACAAAACCATAACCATACCACATTATATGATGCCTTTGCCTATATTCGTGTGTGTGTGTTTGAAGGATGTCTCTGTTCAGACTTTGAGTAATTACAAAAAAAAACAAAAAAAAAAAAACACCCACGTTTGGAAACCATGTGCAATTTTCCTGCAGCCCTGATTGAAACAAATGAGGCAAATAATTTAAAGTGTGGTCAGCTAATTAGAAAGAGGTGTATCTTCAGTCACAGCTCAAAACAAACGACTGCAATGCTCAATACATTTTGATTTTCAATAAGTGTCATCATGGCATGGCTTTTAAGTTGCAACAGTCATGTAGTTTAATGTTTCATATAACAGGAATCAGCGCTATTAAAAAGTTATAATTACTGATGAAGTGCGTTTATATTTTTTTATTATTACGTAAACCTTTAGTGACATCTTCAGGAGTCTGATAATACTGCAATGAAGGGCTAAAGCTACGTCAACATATTGACGTGGACGATGGCGCGTGGGAGGAAGCTTCAGGGTGATGCTATGTTAAAGGTATTACTTTTCAAAGTAAGAGCAGCCTAATGCATATTTCGATTCCAGCCGCTTGATTTTTACCCATAACATATAAAAACGATAAAATACTAGTTATACTACAACTAGTTGACTTTACAATCCATTAAATTGTGCGTATGTTAAAATAAATACCGAGCATACTTTTATTTTGAAGTGATGCCGTTAAACTGCTAGCTGGCTAGATGCAGGGATTTTCTGTCTGAATTAAATAGCGGCTAGTCATGTGAACGATTTAGGATAAACAATGTATGCTACGTGGAGTAAATGGTTTGAAATAATGGCGCTTTTTGTTGAATAGTTGTTTTTTTCTCTGTAGTTTACTGGCGGTGCATTTGCGAGTTGAGTCGTTTTCTAAATTGGCTTCCAGTGCGTTGGTGAGGATTGTGCTAGCTTGTCCGGTAGCTCCAAACAGTCACATCAGCACCGCTGCTGCCACCCCGAGACCTTAGCATCATTGTAAGCATGCTGTTTTGTCGCCAAGTGGATTAAATAAGACGTAAATAAAAAAACGTGTCAGAGTTAAATTTATTTAAAAAATATTTTACCATCTTGTGTCGGTGCTGTCCTTCCAGAGAATCCATTATGGCAGACAACATCATGAGCAAGGCTGCTACCATGGAGATCCCCATTAACAGCAATGGAGATACAGGGACTCTTGCAGAGGATGACAGCCTGGAGCAGGTCAGACACGCTTCCTTCCATGTCACTGACAACATCACAATATTTCACACATGATGCCACTTTCAGCTCAGCTTCTGCTTTTTGTTGGGCTTAACATGCTGAAGTCAAATGTTAGCTAACCATGCACAGGCCTGCAGCTGTGGGCAGGATCAAGAGTTCACTGTTAAATCTGGCACCAGCAAAAACACCAGTCCGTGATGGAGATAAACAGATTGTGGCATAAGTTCTCCAAGCTTCCTCCACCATTGTTTTTCTTTCTTCTGTGACTACAGCTTTATATAATAATCTGATGTAGGCTAACAAGGGTATATAAGTCAAATTTTAAGTGATATAATAAATGGTAAGTGCACTATACTTAATCAGGTCTCTCTTGTAAATGAGTCCTCGAGGTTCAATGGGATTTACCCGTCTAAATAAAGGTTGAATGAATAGTGCCTTTCTATCTTATCAAGATACTCAAAGTGCTTTACACTACAATATGTGCCCTCATTTACCCATTCATACAGTACTTTACTATACCTGTATGAAGAATAATCAGTGCTTTCACAGTCGTACACCGATGGGACACACATTGGAGGCAATGTGGGGTTCAGTGTCTTGCCCAGGGACACTTAAGCAGGTGACTGCTGGTGGAATCGAACCCCAAATAACAGTAGGTTTGTTATCCTGATGCATGCTCAATAATCCAGGTAGAAAAATCTAAAACTCTGCGGTCTACACTCATCTCCAGGCCAGCGGTCACTCTTTCAGGGATGAAGATGTGCACATCCTGGATAGAGAGGAACGATGGTTTGAGAGAGGAGTAAAGGAGGCCATCTTTGTGAAAAGAAACCGTCCATCATTAAACAGGGGTGGAGGCCTACGTGTTCAATTGTCCCCCTCTTACAATGCTGTGATTGCTAGTATCACTCAGCCCTCTGTGAATAGTAAACAGCCATCAGTGTGCTAATGATCCATTGTTAGGCTGATGGTCCTTCTTGAGCATGTGATCAGCTGGTTTTGGTTGTCAGCAGCAAAACTGGTTGATCCACTCTGAGAAGGTGCTATTTAAGAGACTGAGCTGAATACAGCACCTCAGACTGAAGAAGTCTTTCGGACGAGAGACGAAACGTTTCTACATTTTTTGTTGTTTTGCTTTGTTTTGGGTTTTTTTTGAATGTCCAGAGGACCAGATTTAACTTTTTTAGTAGGTTTGTTACTTGCAGTGCTTACGCTGTTGCAACTTTTGTTCCAATCATTAAATTTGTGATTTTCCAAGTCCATATTTTCTTTCTTGGCTACTGGGTTAGAATAATGGGTATCTGCATTGATCTTAAGGAGTCAAACTATTTTGAACCACCCTGCTTGAGAGATGGCCATGGCATAACTTGGATCTTCTGCTCCAACAAAAGGTGAAAATAAAAATAAACCCAAACAAAAACATTTCCACAACCTGAGAGTGTGTTTCTGCAGTTAAAAACTCAGTTAGTGAAGTGAATAATGGTTTGTTACTATGGTAGTTATTTATTAAAAAAAATAACTGATTGGAATTATTCTATTCACTAAAAAGGCTTGGGTGTTCTGAACATTCATCAAAGGGACCTGCTCACACTGTAGACAAGTCTTTTGTATATTTTCTGTGTTCTTGTCTGCTTGGATTTAAATGGTAAATGGTAACCGGACTGTACTTATATAACGCCTTTCTATCTTCTTGAGATACTCAAAGCGCTTTACAACACAATCTTTGTTCTTATTTACCCATTCATACAGAACTCTATTATATCTCTACAAAGCTAATTGAACAAATCATTCTAAAGAGACTAATCAGAGCTTTATCACATTCATACACCGATGGGACACACATCCGAGGCAGTGAGGGGTTCAGTGTCTTGCCCAGGGACACTTCGGCACGTGACTGCTGGTGGATTCGAACCCCCAACTCTTGCATTGGAGGACGACTGCTCTAACCACTCAGCCACAGCCGTCCCCCATTTACACATTTTATTTACAATAAAATTGCAAAAACAGCATGGTTTTGATTTGTTTTGTTTTGCCATAATTCTCATTATGAAAGTAATTAGAAATATAATATTTAATATTGTACATTAGATTCCGATAAAGTAATAAGTCACAGGATGGTTTAAAAAAAAAAAAAAAGTTCTTTATTTCTTCAGTGCTGCTCTGTTTTTCTGGTACTTTTCATGTAAAATAAAATAAAAATGTAATCCTTTTACAACTTCCTGACTTTGAAATCGTACTCCTTTGGTGGTGAATCCTTTAGGATTTACAGCAGGTCATGGTGTCTGGACCCAACCTGAATGAAACCAGCATTGTGTCTGGAGGTTATGGAGGACCTGCAGGGGGCATCATTCCTACAAGCACCATCAAAGGTACAGTCTGCAAACCAAACGGTCTGCTAGGATTTTATTGTGTTTTTCTTTAATTAAAACACACGTTTTGTTCTCTAAAGATGTTACAAATACAAAGTTGCAATAACTAAAAGTTACTGTTTTGTATCTTGGGATTAGTTTAGGTTTAAAAGTATGTTCTAAGTAATAAAAGTACACCACTCTGATCCACACCATTGCTCATTAGTTGCAGGCTGCCCTGAGCTTCACCAGAGATCTGTCAGAGTTGTTGCAATCCTACTGTAACTGAAAAAGGTCAATACTTGATGTGCATCTAGGAAGAATTCCTTCTTGCATAGTGATGCATCACCAGAGAGCTACTGACCTCTGTGCTGCTGGTTTATATGATAAACATCATATTCCATAGGGCCTGCAGTTCACTACAATCCTGGGTATCTGGACAGAAGACGAGCACCAGGACCAGGTGGCTTTGTTTTCTGACAACATTTTTTGTTTGTTTTCTTTCCTAACTTTTACTACGTGCATCTGGGTTTTTGGCCTACCTTTTAAGAAGTTTTTGTACCTCTTACTGTAACTAAGAGAACTGAATGCAGCCTTGCTTGTCCCGACTAAACTTTCAACCTCAGCAACAAGAATTGTTTTGGCAACTTTCACAATGTACTAACTTTAAATTACAGTGCTGTCTCTGAAGAGGTTGTGTTTTTGTCCAATAAGAATGCACCCCCTTTTGGACTGTAAATGTGCTTTGAGTGACTATTTTGTCATTACTTGGTGCTTACAACTCACCTCATATCCATTACTGTTATGTTTTTCTTATGTATTTTTTATATTATGCATGATAAAGCTGCATCATTAAAACTGTTTTAACCCTGTCTTATTTCACATCCTCTGTCACGCAGCCCATTTCCTTTACTTTCAATGCTTTCTCGTGTTTCACTACCAGGCTTCTGATTACATTTCACCTCGACTCACTTTTCTCGTTTTCACTCTTCATCATGACCACGCTTATTTCAGACATTCGCATGAAATCCAGGGGCGTTAACTTGTCTCAGAGTCACTCTTCAGCCAGTCGACTCGCCCATCACACTAACCAGCATCCAGGTATCGCTGAGCTTGTCATCCACTCCATATTTTCCTTACCGTCATGATCCATTCAATAAACCGTCACTTTAAAAAACTTGGATTTGATAATGTGTGGTGTACTTTGTTATTGATATTGTGTTTTATTTCTTTAAGGGTCTATGAATCATAACACCAGTTCAACTGAAGAGATTTCTCGCGGTGTAGCTGTGGAGAAATTGGACAGCGTAAAGAAATGGGGCATTAACACGTACAAGGTAGACTGTGCTCATATAATTCGTAAAGCGTCATCAAGTATGGTACTTGTAGTTAGATTACTTCCAATGAGTTTGAAGCAAATATTTAAAATGTTGTTTCTTAAAAACCACACATCATGTTGAAAAAGTATTAATTAGTTTCATACCCAATAGTTGCTGAATGTTTGTTCATCTGAACTGCAAGGTAGTCTTTTGAATACACTGATTAGATAAGCAAAATCATTTTAAGAAATCGTGTTTAAGTTCAATATACATTAGTCCCTCGCTACTTCACAGTGTGACTTTTGCGGACTCGCTCTTTCGCAGTTTTTCAAAGTACGATTGGACATGACACACAATTGGCTGATTGATGGATGAGCTGCACGAGCAGCATGGATTGTTTATTTAAAAGAAATTATTTATCGCCTGCTGCACCTTTGTGCAGCCCACAGGTCCAGGGAGAAGCTCTCTCCTGCAGCATGTCATGATCTCCGCTCTCTGCCACCTGCCAGCGATTGCAGCGGAGAAGTGGGGGTGGCCGAGAGCGGAGATCATGACATTCTGTGCTCTTTTAGAGCGTTTAGAGTTTAGAAACATTGTTTAGAATATTACAAGAATGTGGGAAGGGTTAAAATCTAAATTCTTGGACACCAGAGTCAACAGTCAGCGTATCAGATCAGCTGTTCCTACCAGGAGTCGTCTTCGAAGGCCGCCTGAAGATACCAGAT